TTTTTTTAGAGATAGGATCTCACTTTGTTGCCTAGGCTACAGTGCAGTGTGCGGCACTATCACGGCTCACTGCAGCCTTGAACTCCTAGCCTCAAGTGATCCTCCCATCTCAGCCTCCCAAATAGCTGGGACTGTAGGTGCACGTCACCATGCCCAGCTAATGATTTTTTGTAGAGATGAGGTCTCCCTGTGTTGCCCAGGCTAGTGTCGAACTCTGCTGAGGTCAAGCCATCCTTCTGCCTAGGCCTCTCAAAGCATTGGGATTACAGACGAGAGCCACTGCACTCTGCCATTGTTCGTTTCTAAATAAATTGGTATTTCAGTCTTGATTTTCTTTTTCACTTGGGAGTTAATTAGAAGGGTGGTTTGGAATGTCCATGTCAACAGGAGTGTTTTGTTATCCTTTTGCTATTAATTTCTAATTGTGTCACTTTGTAGTTGCAGAACCCTGTGTTATGGGAGTCTGTCTGCGTGGGGGTCTGTGTTACGGGGGTCTGCGTGGGGGTCTGTCTGTGTTATGGGGATCTGTCTGCATGGGGGTCTGTCTGTGTTATGGGGGTCTGCATGGGGGTCTGTCTGTGTTATGGGGGTCTGTCTGCATGGGGGTCTATCTGTTACGGGGATCTATCTGCATGGGGGTCTGTGTTACGGGGATCTGTCTGCATTGGGGTATATCTGTGGGTCTGCGTTGAGGTCGGTGTTACGGAGGTCTGTCTGCATGGGGATCTATCTGTTTTGAGGCTCTGTCTGCATTGGTCTGTTTTGTTTATGGCCAACTCATGTGCATGTTGAGTGTGTTTGGGAAGAACATGGATTCTGTGTGGGTTAAAGAGTTCTGTACATGTTCTCCTGTGTCTGTTGTATTACTCATTACTTAAATCTTAATTTTTGTTAATTTTAAGTTACTTTTGTTAAAACATACATATTTAGAACAGCAGTCCCCAAAGCCACACTCAGCCTTGCAGACGTCCTTGCATGCTGAGGTGAGAAGTGCACTTTTGCTGGTATGCTGCCTCCTCTCCTCTCCTTTCCTTTCCTTTTTCCTTTTTCCTTTTTCCTTTCCTTTCCTTTCCTTTCGACAGAGTCTCACTCTATCGCCAGGCTGGAGTGCAGTGGTGCGATCTTGGCTCACTGCAACCTCCGCCTCCGGGGTTCAAGTGATTCTCCTGTCTCAGCCTCCCAAGTAGCTGGGACTACAGGTACCCACCACCACACCCAGCTGATTTTTGTGTTTTTTTGTTTGTTTGTTTTTTGTTTTTGAGACAATCTCGCTCTGTCGCCTAGGCTGGAGTGCAATGGCGTGATCTTGGCTCACTGCGACCTCCACCTCCTGGATTCAAGCGATTCTCCTGCCTCAGCTTCCCAAGTAGCTGGGATTACGGGTGCACGCCACCATGCTGGGCTAATTTTTGTACTTTTAGTAGACACGGGGTTTCACCATGTAGGCCAGGCTGGTCTCGAACTCCTGACCTCAAGTGATCCGCCAGCCTGGCCTCCCAAAATGCTGGGATTACAGGCGTGAGCCACCGTGCCCGGCCGCACTGCCTCCTTTTCATTCCTCTGTCTTGCATTCTGTCCATGCCCCACTGCAGAGACGAAGGGTGTAGCGCCCCTTCCCCATCCTCTCACCAGCATTCTGTCTACTCAGCAGAAACCCAGTTCCACTGTTAGCTTTACAGTGACCATGTGGCATCGTGACCGTGGGGTGGCCGTGTTTCCTTTGTGCTGCTTTTGGTGTTCCCTGGAGGAAATCGTTGTGTACCCGCCCCCCTCCTCCTCCTCCTCTCCCCCATTTTCTATGAACTGATTATTCTTTCCTAAACCTTCCAACAAATCTAGGACTCTGCTCTCACAGACCCCTGCACATTGGGTCGTCTGGAGCTGCGTTTTCTCCTTGGCAGTGGCCTTCCTGGAGCCCTGGACTGCCAGCAACCAGCCCAGCTGGCAGGGCCACTGAGCAGGCTTCCCTACTCCCTCTCCCTTCTACACTGCCCCACAATCCATCTGCCTCCTGTCTACAGGGCCCCTTGTTTCCTGGGCCCCGGCTTACTCTCCCTGGTTAGTCCTTTGTTTTGGTGGAGTACATCCAGCAGCTTCCTCTAAAAGGGTTCAGAGGATGTGAAAGTTTCGAAGACTCTGAAGATGTGAAAATATCTTTATTCTGCCTGTATGCTTGAATGACACCTTGGTTGGGTGAGATACTAGGTGGGAAATAATTTTCTTTCAGGATTTTGAGGCATTGTCCATTACCTTCTGGCTTGCAGTGCTGCTGTGTGGTGGTGCCCTGGACTATTAATACTTTTTTTTTTTTTTTTTGAGACAGAGTCTTGCACTGTCGCCCAGGCTGGAGTGCAGTAGTGCAATCCTAGCTCACTGCGGCCTTGAACTCCTGGGGTGTTCAAGGGGATTGAGCGATTGTCCCTCCTCAGCCTCCCGAAGTGCTTGGATTATAGCTACTGTGCCCAGCCAGAATTTCCTTACATTTTCTTTCTCCCTTCCTTTCTTTCTTTCGTTCATTCTTTCATTATCTCGCTCTTTCTCCTTCCTTCTTTCCTTTTCTTTCTTTCTCTTTCTTTTTTTTTTTTTTTTTTTTTTTTTCCAGAGTCTTACTCTGTCACCCAGGCTGGAGTGCAGTGGCAAAACCACAGCTCACTGCAGCCTCAACCTCCTGGCTCAGGCGATCTCTGCCTCAGCCTCCCAGTAGCTAGGACTACAGGCATGTGCCACTGAACTTGGCTAATTTTTTAATTTTTCTTTTGTAGAGATGGGGTCTCACAGGCTGGTTTAGAATTCCTGACCTCAAGCAATCCTCCTGCCTTGGGCTCCCAAACTGCTGGGATTACAGATGTGAACCATCACGCCCAGCCTCCTTACCTGTCTTTGTTTGAGACGGAGTTTCGCTCTTGTTGCCCAGACTGAAGTGCAATGGCATGATCTCGGCTCAGTGCAACCTCCACCTCCCGGGTTCAAGCGATTCTCCTGCCTTAGCCTCTTGAGTAGCTGAGATTACAGGCATGTGCCACCACGCCTGGCTAATTTTGTATTTTTAGTAGAGACGGGGTTTCTCCATGTTGGTCAGGCTGGTCTTGAACTCCTGACCTCACGTGATCTGCCTGCCTCGGCCTCCTAAACTAAAGTGCTGGGATTACAGGCGTGAGCCACTGCACCCAGCCGGCCTTTTTACTTTTTTTTTTTTTTTTTTTTTTTTTTGAGACATCTCGTTCTGTCGCCCAGGCTGGAGTGTGATGGCGCGATCTTGGCTCACTGCAAGCTCCGCCTCCTGGGTTCTCACCATTCTCCTGCCTCAGCCTCCCGAGTAGCTGGGACTACAGGCACCCACCACCACACCCAGCTAATTTTTTGTATTTTTAGTAGAGACAGGGTTTCACCGTATTAGCCAGGATGGTCTCGATCTCCTGACCTTGTGATCCACCTGTCTTGGCCTCCCAAAGTGCTGGGATTACAGGCATGAGCCACCACGCCCGGCCCCTTTTTACTTTTTAAGGCTTAATAATATTCCATTTTCTGGATCTGCCACATTGTGTTTATCCATTCATCCATTGTGGAAACCTGGATTCCTTCCACATTTTCGCTGTTGTGAATAATGACCACTGCTGTGAACATTCCCCGTCGGAGTGCACACATCTGTTCGCCTTCCTGCTTTCAGCTCTTTTGGGTATATACCCCAAAGCAGAATTGCTGAATCCCGTGGCAGTTCTGTTTTTAGTGTTTTGAGGAATGAGAATTCACCTCGATTTTGCATGAATCCCACTCTTAGCATGGCACTGCCTTCTCTCCCCTCTCCCCTTAACTCTGGTGAGGGAGTTGGAGGATGGTGGACTTCAAGCTGAGAACAGTCTGGAGGAACCCTCTCCTGCAGCCAAATGGGAAGTTCCCTCTTGGGGGATGGGGGTTGTCCCGGGGACCCACCTGTTTCTGACCTTTCCCTGTGGCCCTCCCACAGCTCCTCCAGCTGGTCCCTGCCTTCCAGTCTCCTGTACCCTGCCAGGGGCCCTCCTCCACTGGCGCTGGGCTTTTTTGTCTATGGATTCATCTTTATTTTCTCCCTTACTCTCTTTGTGATCATTTCAGAGGGGTCTGGGGAGAAGGGCGGTCTGGAGCTGGCCTTAGTCCTGCCTTTCCTGAGGCACACAACAGTGTTCGAGCTCCAGGGGTCCTCCTGCCTGTCAAGCGGGGGGCCGGCCGTGAGGACTAAGCAGTCCAGAGGCAGCCCCGCTGTACATGAAGCCGGGCACGTACTGGGTTGGGGGGTGTCCTGGCACAGATTACTGTGCAAAGCCACAGAGGGCCACACGGCCTGAGGCCCCGCGCCGGGAGCTGGCGCTGGAGCAGCGGGAGGTTGAGCAGACGGCGCTTTAGAAAGTGCCCCCTGGCCGCTGAGGGAGCCAGCTCTGAGGGTCAGCGCGTGCTGGGTAGGAGCGGCGAAGGGGACCTGGCGCCAAGGCCCTC